ATGAGACAAAGTATATGTGAACTGCTGTATGAAAAGTGAATTTACTCTGTAAATCTTCACCCAAATCCTAATAAAAAAAAAAAAAGAGAGAATAAACTCCTGTTTGTTAAGGCCATGCCATTTGTGGTATATTCCTGTCAGAGTGGCACTAGGTAACAGAGCATGCCCTTAGAATGCTTCAGTATTGCAATTTGAATCTTGAACTTTTTCTTCAGTTCTTTCTGCTTAAGATATGCTGAGCATGTTTGTCTCTTTTGGTTTTCTATCTCTGGGTCTTTGCACATTTCATTATAATAATGGACTTTGTCTTCTTGAGCTGCTCTTTGAAATCTTCTGCTTAGCTCTTTTATCTTGTCATTTCTTCCATTTGCTTTAGTTATTCTCTGTTCAAGAGCAAGTTTCAGAATCTCTTTTGACATGCATTTTGGTCTTTTCTTCCTTTTCTATCATTTTAATGACCTTTTGCTTTCTTTATATATGATGTTCTTGATGTCATTCCACACTTGTCTAGTCTTCCTTCAGTCACTAGTGTATACTTGCCATTTATATTTTTGAAGAAAGGTACTTGCAATGAATAAATTGTTGGTCAATTTACAATGCAAAATTGTATCATTCTATCTCCAGTGTCATTTCTATCACCAAAGCCACATTTTTCAACTACTTCTTTGTTTCCAACTTTCACATTCCAAACACCACTGATTATCACTACATCCTGATTGCAAGTTTGGTCAACTTCAGAAGTTGGTAAAAATCTTCCATTCTTTTATCTTTGGCTTTAGTGGTTGGTGTGTAAATCTGAATAATGGTAGTATTAACTGGCCTTCTTGTAGGCATATGTGCTCACTAACCACATTTTGCTTCAGTATTTGTTGTTGTTAGGTGCTGTCAAGTCATCTCCAACTCATAGCAACCCTGTGTACAGCAGAACAAAACACTGCCAGGTCCTGTGCCAGCCCCATGATCCTTGCTATACCTGAGCCCATTGTTGTAACCACTGTGTTAGTCCATCTTGTTGAGGGCCTTCCCCTTTTTTGTTGACCCTCTACTTTACCAAGCATGATAGCCTTCTCCAGGAGACTGTCCCTTCTGACAACATGACCAAAGTTGGTGAGACAAAGTTTGGCCATTCTCACTTCCAAGGAGCATTCCAGCTGCACTTCCTCCAGGACAGATTTGTTAGTTCTTTTAGCAGTCCATGGTACTTTCAGCGGTCTTCACTGACACCACAACTCAAAAGCATTGACCCTTCTTTGGTCTTCTTCCTTATTCATTGTCCAGCTCTCACATGGCATATGAGGAGATTAAAAATACCAAGGCTTGTGTCAGGTTCACCTTAGTCTTCATGGAGATACCTTTGCTCTTCAGTACTTGAAAGAGGTCTTTTGCAACAGATTTGCCCAATGATGTATGTCGTCTGTAGAAAGTCCACTGAAATGTGTCCACCATGGGTGACACTGGTGGTATTTGAAATACTGGTATTATAGCTGCCAAGATCACAGCAACAGCCCCTATGATGCGACAAGCTGACGGGCTTGTGGTGTCTCATATGTCATATAATGGTCATATAATGATGTTATTGTCTATCTTAGAACTATTTGGGGAATGCTCTTTATTTTGACAAATTTTGTAAAACCAAAATTTATAAAAAAGTAAAAAAAAAAATTTCCTCTCATTTTTCATACTTGTTTCTGCTAGTGAATGGTTATTTCATTTCCTTAAATTTTCTGCCAATATTAATATGTTGCTTTTAGTTGAACTTGGAATATTAAACAGCTTGTGTACAGATACGTGTTGTTTAATGTCTGTCCGGACAGTGTCTGATCACTTACATGTTTATAGGCCCATAAAGTTTTTTTTTTTTTTTTAATGAAAGGGAAAGGAGCTCTACTTTTGTTTATTTCCTCTTCAATGTTTTAAAGACCCCAATACAGACTCCTGTAGCACTAGACCACATGGGATGTAGGCAGGTGAGACAGAGGACATGGCTCTGGGCATGGGGTCTCAGGCTTTGTCTGGTAGGCAGGCAGTGGTGGCAGCTGCTCCTGCTGCTCAGGTGGGTGGAACAGCAGGCAGGGCAGGGCATGCTGAATCTCACTGTGTCCCCACTGCCAGTCCCTTAGGCCTCTGCCAGCAGTAGCAGCAATGGCAAGGAAGAGGACAGCTGGACGAGGGCTCCCATAGGTTTTAATAGGCTGTTTGCACAACATCCAAATCACATAATGCCCTATTTCACATAGCATATGGCAGACATTAAGTGAGGCATACCTGCGATTGTGTCTGATTTCTATTCTATTTCTGACAACCATTAATTATGAGTGAGCCCTGAGATCCTTAACATTTAAAGTTTCAGAGCTTTAATATGTAGTCTTTGTCGTATTCAGTTGGGCTATTTGGGGCCTTTATTGCTGACTTCGTAGTTATCTCCTATGCGTACAATTGTTGTAGTTACCAAATCTGGCACCTTTAGATAAATGAGAAGGTATATAATTTTTAAATGGTATGTTTAGGTCATATTTTTTTAATTACTTATTTTTGCTTTAATTTTTAGAATATACCAAGATGGAAGGAAGCCACATACAGTAAGATTAATAATCCGTCGGTATTCATCTGAGAAGCACTATAGTCGTGAAAGTCGTCAATGCCCTATTCCACCCCATGTAATTCAGAAGTTAAGGACAGGTATGAACTAATTTTCTAAAAATTTTATTGATAATTTGAACTCTTAAAAAAAAAAAAAACAATTAGAAATATGCACACAGGGAGTTAGCAAACTATTAAATACCTTTATGCGATTAAGTATTTTATCTAGAAAAGTTTGTTTTCATTATTTAAAATAGATAATAAAAAGTTATAAATGTTTCCCAACCTCAATGAGAGCAAAACTATGATCATTAATTATGTGGCATGAGGTAACTTCTTTATGGACATTTAGATTGTTTCTACGTTTTGGCTAGTATGAAAAGTGGTGAAAATTTGTGTTCAAGTCATTGAACATGTTTTCATTTATTTTGGGTCGATTATAAGGAGTGGAATTGCAGGTTTGTGTCTGGTGGGCACTGTGGTTAAAACCGTGGTCTGCTAACTAAAAGGTCAGTGATTCAAACCTACCAGCTGCTTCATGGAGAAGAGATGAGGCAGTCTGTTTCTATAAAGATTTACAGCCTTGGAAACTCTGTAGGGCAGTTCTCCTCTGTTCTGCAGGATCGCTAGGTTGGAATTGACGTGGGTTTGCTTTGGTTTGGTTTATGATACTGAACTTTTTAAAAGACTGCCAAGTTTTTATTCCAGAGTGAATGTAACATGTTTACATCATCACCAGCAACATACAAGGGTTCAGTTTTTCCATATCCTTGCCTACATTTGGTATTGTCTGTCTTTCTGATTATAGTCATTTTGATGGGTTTGTAAATGGTGTTTCATTGTGATTTTTTTTTCTTTCACACATAGAACTTTTAGTGTCAGATCTAAAATCTCTTTGCCCAACCAGATGTCACAGAGATTTTCTTCTTTTTTTTTTCCCCAGAAGTTTTATAGTTTCGGCTTTGCATCTAGGTCCATTTTGAGTTTTTTTTAGTTTGTCTGTTTTTGCATGTAGGTATCCAGTTATTCCATCAGCATTTGTTGAACAGACTATTCTTTCTCCCATTGAATTTCATTGATACTTTTGTCAAAAATCAATTGACCAGGAGTTCTGGTAAGATGGCGGATTAGGCAGAAAGACTGCACAGACCCTCTTCAACAAAGAAAAGGGAAACCAATTAACACAGACACAGAAGATAATCCTGGACCCCTGAGCCTTAAAGGGAAGGATATAGAACTGGACTAAACCTCAACTAGCAGAAGAATCTGCATGAAAATACCAAAAAAGGAGACAGATGGAGCGACGGTCTTGCAGCGATCCTGAGTGATCCTGATGGCACAGCACAGACAACTTGGAGAGTCCGAGTGGTGGTAGGACCTAAGAATTAACCTGAAAACCAGTCCTGCTAGCCAGGGACTACACGGAGGACTGCTCTGGTGACTGGGGAATAAATGGAGAAGGTGAAGAGAAACGGGCTGAGCTGTGGACTTTTCCCTGTCTGGTGGGCGCTGCATTTTGCATGTTTACAAATGGCTTCACCATTTTGGATATTTAAAGAGACAGCACTCTCACAGATCTCAGGGGCTTAAAGAACAAGTTCTGCTTGCCAGCAACCCCAAAAACACACCAGATCTCCAAGACTGAAAAGGTGTGACATTCGTCTTGTTACTCTTACACTGCACACCTGCTTGGTGAACAGAGGTGCGGCCATCCCCCACTCCCACCTACCTTCTGGGCCCACCAGGAACTCCATCCCAGTCTGTGTGCTCACACAGAGCCTGGGTGCCCTGCGCTGTCCTCTACCAATTTTTTTCTTTCCCTTTTTTATTTTTATTTTTATTTTTTTCTTTTTCTGGTGATTAGTTTGCCCATATTTTTCTGTTTTAAAACAACTATTATTATTAATACTTTTGTTCTTTTTACTATTATTCTTATTCTTCCCCTCCTAGGTCCTAGTTTTCAGCTTTTTTTCTTTTCCCTGTTCCTGGTTGAAATTTTTTTTTTTTTTAATGTTTCTTTTTCTTTTTCTTCCCTCTTTTTTCTCATGGTTAACCCCATTCCTTGTTTTTCTTTTTGCATTTTTCCCTTTTTTTTTTTTCATTATTCTCCTTCTCTACCTTTTTCCTCTTAGTGCCCTATCCCCAGATATTGCAGGTTTTTTTTTTTTTTTTTTTTTTTTCTTCTTTTTCCCTTTTTTTTGGTTACTGTTCCTGTGTGATTACATGTGTGTTTTTTATCCATGTGCTTTTAGTTTTTTCATGGTTATTCAATTGTAATTTTTGTCTAACTGAGTGGGAGACAGCAACAGTCCCCATAAGACACAACTACACTCATACCTCCTGCAACTTCACTTACTGAGCGAGAGCCACTACCTCTTCTCCACCAACAGGCCAACGATAAAAAACCACCAAGAAGAGCCTGAATCACCCTTGACTGTTCTTCACAAACAGTTAACAGAGATCTGAATACAATAATGCCACAACACCTTGGAGACAACAGACCATCACAGTCCACACAAAGAAGCAGGATAAGGTGGTAGAAACAAGGCAGCAGGATACAGACCCAGAACACATCCCTGAGGAAGAAGCAGCATTGGAACTCTTGGATAAGGAATTCAAAAGAATTATATTTAGGTATCAGCATAGTGGCTAAGGCACTTGACTGCTAACCAGAAGGCTGGCGGTTCAAACCCGCCAACCACTCCTCAGAAGGAAGATGGGGCAATCTACTTCCTCAGGGATACTGCCTCGGAAACCCAAGGAGGGGTCACTATGAGTCAGATGTGACTCGACAGTACATAACAACAACAACAACAATCTTCAAAGGATTGAGAGATAAACCAAAGAAAACACAGAAAAAACCCTGAAGATTTGGAAGAAAATACAAGAGCAAAATGACAAAATAAGTGAAAAATTAGAAATGATTCTAAATCTACAGATAGAAATCCAGAACATTAATACTAAATTGTCAGAAATAGATAACACATTGAAAAGGCAAAGGAG